GGTATATGAGACAAAAGACGCAGTGGAACCGATACAAGCGCGTAAGCAGGCTAGAATGCATACCTGTGATAAATGGCAGAAGCTATGGGACGAGGAAACCCGAGCAGGTGGACGGCTCGACTGATCCCGCGTATTCAGATTTGGCGTGATCGAAAGCACGGCGAAGTCAATTACTACATTACCCAAATCCTAACAGGGCACGGATATTTTTGTAAATACCTCTGGAACATCGGAAAAGTAAATAGCCCTGCTTGCCCATATGCGGATGGGCTGACAGACGACGCCGAACACACAGTGTTCCACTGCCACAGATGGAAAACCGAAAGGGAAGAGTTGACGGCAAATGTAGGCTCTATAGCACCCGACACGCTAGTCAACAAAATGATTAATGACGAAGCGACTTGGACAACAATCGTTACCTTTTTGACGAAGGTCCTCACCCAGAAGAAACTTGAAATGGGAGTTTTTAGCGGGTAACTTACGGACTAGAGTCCCACACTTCCGGCCGAAATATTTCCCAACACAGTAGGCCGGGGTGCGTAACGCATTTTCTCCTCCTCAGCGCAAAAAAAAAAAGTGGTTCTTATTGTCAAATACCATTATCTAAAACCCTTTCTTGTTCTTGTGTTTCATTGATTTTTATGAACAGTTTATTATTATTAGCTTTTTGTGTTCTGGTTTAATTTGTTATGTAGTTTACTTTATTTAAATTTATTAGTAGTTGTTTTTATTATTTTGTTTTAATTCGTAAATAGTCTAGTTTTTAAAGTACTTTAATAATACGTGCGAATTCGGACAATTTTATTATGAATAAAAAAGAATTGTGCAGAGCAATGAGTGGTTGTTTATCCGCTGCAGCACTTTTGGTGTGTGAATTAAAAAAAAAACAATCCACGAAGAAAGCGTCGGTTTAAGAGGAGGCCGATGAATAGAAATCGCAAACTCACGGACATTATTTTACTCTGATTAAAGAGATGTTAATAAAAGAAGAGGACGACGCGCAATTTTTTAAATACACACGTATGAATGTGGAATTATTCAAAACTTTACATCGGCTAGTGAGCCCCCTGATTAAAAAAGAATCATGTAAGGACTCATTATCACCTTCAGAACGATTAGTGATTACCCTACAGTAAGATGGAGAAGATTATTGATTGTTAATTAATCATTGATTAATACCAAAATATTGTTTTAGATATTTATCAGAGGGATGTTCGCAACAAGAAATTGCGTGAAATTTTAAAATTGGGAAAGCCACCGTTCACTGTGTTGTGGAAGAAACCATGGAGGCAATTTGTGATGTGTTGCAGCCTTTAGTATTACCAAAACCTACGGAAGAAATGCAGAAACACAATTGCAAAATGTTGACATATTTTCAATTTCAACTTCTTTATCTGATGTGTCCACTTCCGACAGATCTATCACTGCTTCAGTGTTATCTTCATTTAAATATGTCTCTGTGTGAGGACTATATTCAACATTGTTTTTATTATCTGTCGCAAGGCTTTTCTGTGTGTTTCTAAAGTTACTGAATGTTCTAAAAATTAACTTAAATTGTTTATTAAACAAAACTATATTAGTATTTTAGGCGCTTACTGTCTTCGCTTTACTACTTCACTTAGAAATTGCATCGCAAATAAATGAACCCAGGGCTGTTTTGCTCCAGACCCAGATGCTGGTTTACGTCTTTCCTTAGCAAACCGTTGCCGCAAATTAAACTATCGTTGTTCACATAGTGGTACTGCAATTTTGGTATTTTTCAGTAATGTTAATGTCAATAATTAATACAAACGTTAATTATAATTTATTATATACTAACCTGTTGAATTTAAAGTTTTGGCTATTTCTCCCCATGCATTTCCCCAATATCTTGTCTTTATGTTCAGAACATTTTTTATCATAAATATATCGGTAGTTCTTAACAACTTTAATCAATTTTCCATCAAATTCATTCATTTTGTTGGCACAGAAATAAACAACAGTTGAGGTTAGGTTAGAACGCGCTGTTTACACCGGCCGATTACTGGATACAGCTGATTGAGGGCGTCTTGCGCATGTGTGACGCTGTAAATTTATAAAAGTTGACCAACTTTATGTTTACAGCTAAATCTTACAGCTTTGTATAAACGATAAATAGGGTTTCAATAGGTTTAACTCTTACAGCTAAATTTTTAAATTTAAATTTACAGCTAAATCGTCTGTGAAACCCGGCATAATTTCTACTTCCTGTTCTTCTAAATTAATTTTAGATAGAAGCGTGTATAATGTAGATTTTATTTCATTCGTGTAACTCGATGTTGTATCTTCTCTCTGGGGTCTTAAACTATTTAAATCATGTACTAGAATTAACTGTCCGCTTCGAAGACGAGGAATAAAAATAAAACGCGTTAAACTTAATTAATTGTTTATTTTAAGAAACGTTAAATTATTAAATGATTCACAAACAAAACTAAACTACGTAACATAATTAACATAAATTTACTTCTTTCAATTAGAATTGATAACGAAAGATACTCAATTCTGCAGATGAAAATGAGGAATTAAGTCGCGAGACGTTTCGTCGCGGAGTTACAAGAATTTTAGCGTAACTTCGATTACGAGTTAATCAGAAGTACATGACGAACTGAGAAATTAAAAATGCAGCTGCGTTTATAGATCTTTTCATTATCATTTCATGTGACGTCAGGGATTGCACCTGCAACGGATGGTAACACTAGGACTTCTTCAGATCTTTTATCTCCAAACGAATGTATGAGTATGTTTTTTAATTCGGGCCAAGACGTGGGCATTTTATTCGCGTCCACTGCCTCGCGTGCTTTAGCACGTAATTTTCCCATAAAAATCATAAGTAATCGCTTTGCCATTCTTACTTCATTCGGGTTTCGAGGAACTGTCGGTAGGTATTTTTCTATTAAGAATTCGCATGCGTTGATGTAACTCTTCAATGTTATGCGATCCCCATCGAATATTGGGAATATTGGGGTCGGTTCGTTGTCCAGGGATTTGGCGATTGGAGCTTCTTCTTCGGCTGGTCAGTTCATTGTCCAGGGATTCGGCGATTGGAGCTTTTTCTTCGGCTGATCGGTTCGTTTTTCGTAGAATTTGAAAGTTCACCGCGAATGTCAGTTTATTGAATCGATTTGAGACACAACACAAGATCACACGCGTTTACCAAAAAAAAACACAAATTTCGTTTGCGTTTACCAAATTTCAGGTTCCTGATTTTCAATTTCTTTACTTACACTAGCGTAAATCGTTTCAGAGTGAGGCTGTTTATTTCGATCTATATTATTACGTTTTCTTTTTAAATAAGACAAATGCCCAATAAACATCAATATAATCAAAACTATTAAAATCATTGTGGTATAATTAACAGCATAATTATGAATATCGTGTTTCGTCAAGGATTTTTCCTTTTTACGTAAAATGTTTAAACTAGCACTAAACTTATCTAGATTTCCTAAAGTATAAGTAACTAAAGTATTGTTGAAGTCTGGTATTCTGTCAAACTGTAAAGTTTCGTTCAAAAGTAAATTTTTTAAATTTATTTTCGGTATAAAAGATAAATTAAAGTAGTTGACATCAATTCCTGTTTGAGATAATGCGAGTTTAAAATCATTTGAAGTGAATTTAATTTGTATGGTTATCGAATTTGCTGTTGCGTACATTCATGAATTTTTTGGTTCTAAATTAACGAATATTACGTTATTTAATTTAATAAATTTCTTCTCGCAACTACTAGTAAGTATTTCATTTAAAAACGTATTAGTGTGCAATTTGTATTCGTATTAACAAAAAGGATCGGAGTTTGCTGCTTACAAATTAAATCATGACTTAATTCTACACAAAAACGAACATAACTACTATCTACTTCGAAAAACAATTGTTTGTTGTTACTTAATACTAAATATTCGGACGTCGGGACGCTTGTCACTTTTATTATTCCAAACATCTCGCGATTTACTAACGGCACTCGCACGATCATTTGCACTGTATTTTCATGCACGAAAACAGTCAATCTCAACGTTTTGTACAAATCATGAGAGTTATGTTTCATTATATTGAACGGAAAAGCTAGATCGTTAGGGATTAAATTTTGAATTCTTTTTAACTCTTCGATTAATTTAGTGGGACTTAGCAAAAATGGATAAAGTACTCCTCGGTGCGTATCAAAGAGTACTTCCACAAAATTATCTTGAAAATGATATAAGTAGTTTGTTAGTAGTTCAGATAATACAACGGCTTCAGTTAGCTATTCTACAAAAAGGTTATGGGATGAAACATTGTTAACTACATGTGAAAGGTTGGTTATGTATGCGGACAGCTGTTTAGTTTTTACTCCTAGGGATGCAAAGTTTTTATTATTATTAATGACAGTCTTATTTAATGCATCCATTGCGGTATTAAAAGTGGAAATTTGTTGTCGCGCCAGTTGGACTAATTTATCCTGATTTTGTGCTAACTTATGAATTTTGTTATTAAGAAAAATGCTGTCTTCTGCGTCAAAATTGAATGCGCCTCTCTTTGTTCGTGTCCCCTTTTCAAACCCTACATGAATTATGTAATAGTGTTTTACGAGATTCAATAGAATGCTCTACAAAATGTACTAATTTACTGACATGTTCGCATTGCGAAACCTTGTGCGAAGTGTCGCTTAAGCAGATGGTGTTTAACCTTTATGAAGTTTCCAGACTGTATTATACAAAGCAATTGGTTTCAGGGTTTCGAAATAAATTCCACTACATGAATTTAGAGGTATTACTTCATAAGGATCTTCTGAAATGGCACTTTTGGCAAGTAGAAAGCAGAACAGGAGTAGTTTTAACCTATTGTTGCGGACTTTAATACATTTTTTCCTATCTGTATTGTGCTTTCTAAATTTCATCGAGTTTGTTTCTGCGCGTACCATTCCGAAGCATGACTTGGTCGCCTTCTTTTAATTTTATAGGGTTTGTTGTACGGTCATATCTGACTTTGGATTGAATTTTATTTGAAATTAAATTTTGTCGAGCTATTTCGTGGGAATGTTACAACCTGGCTTTTAGTTCATTACTGTACCGTGGTTGTGGATGACGCTTTAAGGATGTCGGTAATTCGGTTTCTCGCCCGAATAGTAAAGAGAAAGAAGTAAAACCAGTTGAAGAATGGGTCGAAGTGTTGTAAGTGAACATTGCATATGGCAACCATGAATCCCAATTGGTTTGATCTTTCCTAACAAAATTCCGTAGATATTCCACCAGATTTCTGTGAGATCTTTCTAAACTACCATTTGACAGCGCCTCAGTGGACACCGTTCTATAAGCACCGATTGTCCTTATAAGAATCTGCCTTTGTACCCTTGTCAGTTTCTTCATATTTTGTTTTTCTTTGAGCGCCTCTCTTCATGTTTCGCAGACATACAACATCTGCGACCATATGAGTGTCCCCAGTAACTTTCTTTTATTTGCTCCTGGTCCATACGTGGTGCTCATTACTCGTTGAAGGGCTTGCAGTGTTCCCTGCGCCTTCTTACTCACGTAGTCGATGTGCGCTGTCCTTTTCAGATTCCTTCCTATCATCACACACAAATATTTGAGGGCTTCCGTTGTCTTGATAGTATGTTCCATCGTATTAATTTCCACCACTCCAGCGTGCCTTCTGCTCTTTAGCAGGACCGCCTCGGTCCTCTCCGGTGCGAGCTCAATGCCCATTCTTGACATCTCTTCTGCTATCATGGTAGTTGTTTTTTACGCGATTATTCCCTTCTGAGGAGCCTATCAACGTTCCACAAAGTCGGGCTCAAAATTGACCCCTGCGGCACTCCCCTCGTGATCTATACCTTCCTCCGTTGTATTCGACGTATCTGTTGTTCAGGTATCCCTTCATACATCTGATTAGGTGTTCTGATAGTCCTCACTCTTTCATACTCTCTATTATCTGTGGCCATGGCACAGTTCCAAATGCGTTTCATACGTCCAAAGTGACTAGCATATATTTTTTCTTTTTGCCCCTCCTAAATCTTTCCAGATCCCTCGCCTTTCCCAATACCTCATCAATCGCCTGTGTGGTTGATCTTTCTTTCACAAAGCCATATTGGTCTTTAGAGAGTCCTCCCACTTTTTCCAGCTCCTCCATTATCATCTCCTTCAATACGCTCTCGAATAGTTTTCCTAGGCTGTTTAATAGGCACAGTGGCCTGTGTTACACGCTGAAAACCTTCAGCGTGACAAAATTAGAAGCTATCGTCGTGGCGGAACGATCCAAAAAGAGTGAGAAAACAATATGTATAGGTAGTAAAAGGGCGCCACCAAGCTCTACCTTTTTCACTTCTAAAATAGTAAATCTAAAGCCGCATTCACATGGGTCGTGTTTCACGCGCGTGGCTGCACGCTCGTCTGACGGTTACCACGCTCGAATTAAGGTACGATAGCGTGAAAGCATTCACACGACAGTTTAGCTGCAGTCAAAATGTATCGGTTCGTTGTGCTCTTGTTGCTGATTTAATGGTTACGGAATTAATTAATAATGAAAAATCAAAGAAGACCAGAAAGAAGAGACGTTGGTGGACACGCGATTGGATTTTAAAACGCAATATAAAAGGCGCATCAACGTTCATCGAACATGAACTAACAACAAAATTTCCAGAGGACTTCAAAAATATGTTGAGAATGTCAGAAACACATTTTAATGATTTATTAACCAGAGTAGGTCCTCGTATTACAAAACAAGATACAAATATGAGACAAGCTATTTCAGCAAGAACAAAGTTGGCAATAACGCTGCGATACCTGGCATCTGGAGATTCGTTAAAAAGTTTAGAATACTTGTTTACGGTTCCAAAAAACACAACTAGTGCATTTTTACCACAAGTTCTAACATCTATATATGAAATGCTCGAAGAATTTATACAGGTAAACACTTATTAGCATTATTTTTGCTCATTTTTACCAATTTCCTGTTTACTCTTAGTTTATTACCATGTTTAGTGGTCAAGTAATCGCATAAATTGAAACAGGAGTAAGCATGGTAATAAACCAGCAGGTAAATGAACAGGAGATCGGTAAAAATGAGCCGTAATACTTAAGTTTATTAGTACAAATGATACCATTAATTTTATTTTAGATACCCGACAAATCTGAATGGAAAAATATTGAATATGGTTTTAAGATAAGATGGAATTTCCTTGGATGTATTGGTGCAATAGATGGCAAACACATAGCTATTAGAGCACCACCTAGCAGTGGCTCTGACTTCTTCAATTACAAATCGAATTACAGCATCATACTATTAGCGTTAGTAGACCATAATTACTGTTTTTCCTACATAGATATAGGTGCAAAAGGGAGAAATTCAGATGGGGGAGTGTTTAGCAGAAGCTCACTATTTTGTGCTCTGGAAAACGAAAGTTTGGACATTCCGGAAAATGCTGTAATTGTTGGTGACGATGCGTTCCCATTGAAACCGTACTTAATGAAGCCTTTTGCTCGACGGAATTTAACCCGACAACAAAGAATCTTTAACTATAGATTATCCAGAACTAGAAGAATATCTGAGAATGCTTTCGGTATTTTAACAAGTAGGTTTAGGGTGTTTGAAAAAGCAATTGCACTAAAAGCAGAAACAGCTGACAAAATCATTTATGCTTGTTGTGCAATACATAATTGGTTGATAAAGACCAATTCTAATTATATAATTCCTGGGGCAGTAGATTTTGAAGATGACAATGGCGTACTACACCCAGGCTCTTGNAGTAAAGAGAAAGGAGTAAAATCAGTTGAAGAATGGGTCGAAGTGTTGTAAGTGAACATTGCATATGGCAACCATGAATCCCAATTGGTTTGATCTTTCCTAACAAAATTCCGTAGATATTCCACCAGATTTCTGTGAGATCTTTCTAAACTACCATTTGACAGCGCCTCAGTGGACACCGTTCTATAAGCACCGATTGTCCTTATAAGAATCTGCCTTTGTACCCTTGTCAGTTTCTTCATATTTTGTTTTTCTTTGAGCGCCTCTCTTCATGTTTCGCAGACATACAACATCTGCGACCATATGAGTGTCCCCAGTAACTTTCTTTTATTTGCTCCTGGTCCATACGTGGTGCTCATTACTCGTTGAAGGGCTTGCAGTGTTCCCTGCGCCTTCTTACTCACGTAGTCGATGTGCGCTGTCCTTTTCAGATTCCTTCCTATCATCACACACAAATATTTGAGGGCTTCCGTTGTCTTGATAGTATGTTCCATCGTATTAATTTCCACCACTCCAGCGTGCCTTCTGCTCTTTAGCAGGACCGCCTCGGTCCTCTCCGGTGCGAGCTCAATGCCCATTCTTGACATCTCTTCTGCTATCATGGTAGTTGTTTTTTACGCGATTATTCCCTTCTGAGGAGCCTATCAACGTTCCACAAAGTCGGGCTCAAAATTGACCCCTGCGGCACTCCCCTCGTGATCTATACCTTCCTCCGTTGTATTCGACGTATCTGTTGTTCAGGTATCCCTTCATACATCTGATTAGGTGTTCTGATAGTCCTCACTCTTTCATACTCTCTATTATCTGTGGCCATGGCACAGTTCCAAATGCGTTTCATACGTCCAAAGTGACTAGCATATATTTTTTCTTTTTGCCCCTCCTAAATCTTTCCAGATCCCTCGCCTTTCCCAATACCTCATCAATCGCCTGTGTGGTTGATCTTTCTTTCACAAAGCCATATTGGTCTTTAGAGAGTCCTCCCACTTTTTCCAGCTCCTCCATTATCATCTCCTTCAATACGCTCTCGAATAGTTTTCCTAGGCTGTTTAATAGGCACAGTGGCCTGTGTTACACGCTGAAAACCTTCAGCGTGACAAAATTAGAAGCTATCGTCGTGGCGGAACGATCCAAAAAGAGTGAGAAAACAATATGTATAGGTAGTAAAAGGGCGCCACCAAGCTCTACCTTTTTCACTTCTAAAATAGTAAATCTAAAGCCGCATTCACATGGGTCGTGTTTCACGCGCGTGGCTGCACGCTCGTCTGACGGTTACCACGCTCGAATTAAGGTACGATAGCGTGAAAGCATTCACACGACAGTTTAGCTACAGTCAAAATGTATCGGTTCGTTGTGCTCTTGTTGCTGATTTAATGGTTACGGAATTAATTAATAATGAAAAATCAAAGAAGACCAGAAAGAAGAGACGTTGGTGGACACGCGATTGGATTTTAAAACGCAATATAAAAGGCGCATCAACGTTCATCGAACATGAACTAACAAAATTTCCACAGGAGTTCAAAAATATGTTGAGAATGTCAGAAACACATTGTAATGATTTATTAACCAGAGTAGGTTTTCGTATTACAAAACAAGATACAAATATGAGACAAGCTATTTCAGCAAGAACAAAGTTGTCAATAACGCTGCGATACCTGGCATCTGGAGATTCGTTACAATGTTTAAAATACTTGTTTAGAGTTCCAAAAAACACAATTAGTGCATTTTTACCACAAGTTCTAACATCTATATATGAAATGCTTGAAGAATTTATACAGGTAAACACTTATTAGCATTATTTTTGCTCATTTTTACCAATTTCCTGTTTACTGTTAGTTTATTACCATGTTTCCAGTCAAAAATCTATAAGGATTCGGGACAAATATTGTCAATACTTTAATGGCGAAGGATCCGTTAGTTGGCAAGACAGCATGGTATCATAAATATTTTATACATATTGTACTGAAATGTATGTATGTGTATTTAAAAATAAAAATGTACTTTTTTTATTATGTGGCAAAAGATCGATATTGTAACAAGTGAGTTTTAATTAAATAAAACAAGTGTTTAAGAACTAAATACAAATTTATTAAAAGATATTAATATACATTACTGTCGTTATCTGAAATAAATGATGAAATGATGCTGCTCACCGTTTCTGCCGATGAAGGTTCTGGTGGTTGGGTCGTCCAATTATTATGACTGGGTATATTTTGGTGGGTCTGCCAAGTATTTCCATAACAATCTGTATTTTTAGTTGTAGATTCAGAGCTCTAGTTAATTCCATGCTGTTCAATTGAACAGCAAGGCTTTTGGTCCATATGTCAAATTCAGTTTCAGTTTGTGTAACTGCTATGGCTGTTGCTTGTATTTTTACTAGCTTGTCCAATGCGTCATTTACATGTGAAGAATAGGAAGATGTTTTTTGTCGTTTTTCATATTTATTTTTTCGTGAATTCTCCTCTGTTCTTTCTTCTTCAACGACACGTTCATTCTGTTTCTCGCTACTATCAATTGTTTCTGTTAACCCCTCCTGTACGCAACACGTTCATTCTGTTTCTCGCTACAATCAATTGTTTCTGTCAACCCCTCCTGTACGGCAGCTACTTCTTCACAAACTTGTTTTCTTTTTTCAGGTTTATTCTAAAAAAAAGACAAGTGATTTTCCAATACATTTACATGAAATAAAACTTACCAGGTTATTAAGTGTTGTTACGTTGAGTCACGTAAGGTCTTAAAAAGGCATTTATGGTTTCAAACCAACACACCGTAGGTTTGTATATATCGTCGCGAGAGCAACCCGACTTCTTACTGTCGCTGATCTTTTTCAGTTCTTGAGAATATGCATTTCTAAAATTTTTAAATTTTGTGATTACCTCCGCCGGTCCAAAACCTTCTACTCCTAAACTGTCAGCAATACGCTTTGCTGCAGCTGACCGCAGATCTCTATCTCTGTAGGTAGTTAAAGTGGTGTTGAATAACAGCTCTTCATTCCTATACAATTCGATAAATCGGATTGTATCGCTTTCACTTAACCTTAAATTACGTCCACTCATCTTGAATCACGCGTAAGCAAGGAGTGAAAATCAAGCCAAGTTGGATTTCACACGCATCAGGCGTAAACAATCTATCGGGCCGTGGCGCCACGCTTTACCCTGTTCACATTAAGCCGCGTTGACATGGGTTGTGAATCACGAACAAGAGGCACCCGCGTGGTAACACGAATGTAATTATTTCACGACTGTGGTCATGCCTCTTTCGTGAAACGGGTTTACACGGTAGGTATTTGCTTCAGTCGCGAATATGCAGTGCTTGGTGGCAGAAGCATGTCAAGTTTTGTGTGGTGTGATAGCAGACAGGATTTCACAAAATTTGGCAAGAAAAAGAAAGAAAAGACGATGGTGGACAAGGAAATGGATTCTACAAAGAAGTCATACTAGTTTAATGAAAGACATCTCCAAGTACCCTGAAGATTTTAAAAATTTGCTTAGAATGTCGGAACACCATTTTAATTATTTATTGGAACTCGTTAGCCCCAAAATTCAAAGAAAATCCACTAATATGAGAGAAGCTCTATCGGCCAAATTGAAACTGCAAATAACACTTCGATATTTAGCTACTGGAGACTCTTTTAAAAGTTTAGAATATTTATTTAGAGTACCCAAATCATCGATAAGTAAATTTATAGAAGAAGTTTTAGATGCAGTGTGTGATGCTCTAAAAGAATTTATCAAGGTAAGTAAAAACGTTATTTAATTCCAAACGGTATTCTTATTATTGGTATGGCAACTAGACTTTCCTCTAAATTCTCGTATAGTTTTCGTAGGCTCATGGGGGGCACATTTAAACTATAAAATATTTTAAACAGAAAGGTAATAAAAAGTCATGGTTTGCAAAACATATATTTCCCAAAGCAAATACATAGAAGTATTTGTATGTTTATTTGTAAGTACATTTGCTAATTGCGCATGGCCGAAGTTAACTCAGAGATCAAATGATCCTGTATATCTTCTGCAGCTGAAAAAACAGAATCTTGAGTCCAGTTTTGAATATTTTCAATCGATGGTGGTCCACTTTGAATACTTTCCGAGTTTGTAGTCGAATTTGTAATGAAATTTGAGTTCTGTGAGTACGCGCTGGAGAGTATTGAATATGTGGGAATTGTCGGTTTCAAAATCATAGAAACTATTTCCGATTGTAGTTGTGATGATCGATCTAGTGGTAGAGTTCGTAAAAGAGAAGCAATATATTTTCCAAAATGATCGAAACAATCTTCTTTTGATACACTGGCATTAGCAGCTCTTTTAGAAATATCATCTAGTTTGTCTATCGCAGAATTAATGTCACCAGCAGGTGTCGAACATAGCTTCTTTTTACGAGGTGTTGTTGTAGAAGTGTGTAGAAACTTTCTTTTTAAAGAGTCGTTTTGGCATTGCGTTTCTTTAGATGTGGATGGTTGTTCTTCGTTCAATTGTTGAGATGCTATTGCATTATCTTCAGGTGAATCTGGCTTTTCATTTATCAATACAGTAATATCCTATAACAAGAAAAAAATTATATAGGCCCACCCTTTTGTAATTTACCATTTTTCTGATTATAAATATATTATATACATTAATATGTTTTTAGGTGCCCAGTGAAGAAAATCAATGGCTAGATATAATTAATGGATTTCAAACTAAGTGGAACTTCCCAAATTGCATTGGGGCACTAGATGGCAAACATATAGTTATAAGAGCGCCGCATAAAACTGGGTCCGATTATTTCAATTATAAACAATCGTTCAGCATAATTTTGCTTGCCTTAGTTGATCATAATTATTGTTTCACATATATGGATATAGGAGCTAAAGGCAGGGCATCAGATGGGGGTGTGTGGCGAAACTGTAGCCTCAATGAAGCTATGGAGGCAAACATACTGAATATACCTCCAAATGCAGTTATTGTTGCTGATGATGCATTTCCTTTAACAACATCTCTACTCAAACCATACAGTAAACGAACATTATCCAGAGCTAAACGTATTTTCAATTATAGGCTGTCTAGAGCAAGACGTATTTCTGAAAATGCATTTGGTATACTAGCGTCAAAATTTAGAATATTTGAAAGGCCAATTACCGTAGATTTACAAACAGTTGATGAAATTGTAAAAACCTGCTGCTCAATACATAACTGGCTTCGAAAAACTGGTAACTGTTATGTGCCAGCTAACCTAATTGATTCTGAAGACGAAAACTACAATGTAATTCCGGGAACTTGGCGGCAAATAAGCAGTTCTGGTCTTATAGACATTACTGCGACACATGATAGACACCCGAACAGATCAGCATTGGTAAAAAGAGATGAATATTGCAACTACTTTAACCATGAGGGAGCAGTTCCTTGGTAATGGCAAATTGCTGAGGAGTAAAAAAAGTGCCACATTACATTCTCAAAATGTGTAAGGAAATGATATACTGGCTAGATTTAGTAATATATACAAATATATATATATTTTTTTACTTATAAATTAAAAAAAAATAAATAATTCCATAGTTCCAAAATTTATATATCCATAAATTTATTGGTGTCTGCATCGTTCATTCTTAAAATATGAGCAGCCATAATTTAACAATTTACTGTCCTCCTGCTCTGCTCACGACTGACCACAAGATACAAAAATCAAACAGGTTTAATATTTTCACGATCGGAATTATTTCCGTTCGTGAAAAGTATTTACGCTTCGTATTTCACGAATCTAGTAGTTGACACGGAGCGTAGTTTACGAAAGCGTAGCTCACGTTCGTGATTCACTACCCATGTCAACGCGGCTTCAGGCGTAAACAATCTATCGGGCCGTGGCGCCACGCTTTACCCTGTTCACATTAGTCGTGATCACGCTTAACAATAGCCACGCGCGTGAAACACGACCCATGTGAATGCGGCTTAATACGTTGAACTTGGAAACGTATAAAATATTTAAACAGGTAATATGAGCAACGAACAATTGAAATGGGGAGAAAATGGGGAGAACTACTGCAATAATACAAAAAAATGGTGATAATTCAATATAATAAACCAGTTGAAAAAAAAAATAACATAAAATAATACATTCAAAATTATAATAAATTTGTGACTACTTTTGAGACACATAAAATAATTATTTTTGAAAAATAACCGTAGTTGTGAATAACATAAAAAGAATGTACAACACAAAATTAGAAACAGTTTTGACAATAATTAACAACAAAGAATTTAAGAAAACGATTATAAATAAGAAGATGAATCCAAATTTTGAAAATTAAAAGTAAAATTGACGTAGCTAAAGCTCTTGAAGATGACTAAAAATAGTTGAAACCGGTTGAGCTGAAAATAAAATTTACCCATCTCAAAAACAAAGTTGTTTATTCACCTAACTATTATAACAAGATGGGAAGTAATAATATTGATGATTTTTTAAATAGATCACCATATAACACATGTTCTCTCCCACAGAAGGCAAAGACAGCAGAACATCTTATAACAACGTGTTTTCTAATTGCACCACCAATCTTCGCGAGATTAACATCCCAAACACGCTGATTTTCTTTAACATAAGATGAAATCATTGTTTTTAATACCCTATTTATTCTGTCGGCAGGATTTGCTCTAGGATGATACCGAGCCGTATAAAGAATAGTTGTTCCATATTCGTTACATAGTTTGGTAAAGACTTTACTTCGAAATTATACACCATGGTCCGTGATAAGATACTGAGGAGCACCGAACAGTAAGAAAATATTATCCTCCATAATTTCAACCTCCTTATCTGCGGTGACATTACGTAGAGGGAATAAACGAGCAAACTTAGTGAAGTAATCGGCAATCACCAGGACAAAACTATTGCCCTTAGAAGATCTAGGCAAGGGACCAACAATATCACAACAAAGGACTTGCCATGGGTAAGAAAGAATAGCACGAGGAGAAGAGTTGCTTTTCAGCACAAAACCATCGAATGTAATGATTGATTTCCTATAAAGGCATGGAGAGTATTTATTTATAGCATCACATAGAAATTATAATATCTTATGTTCACAGACTCGTATCAGTTAAATTCAAATTTATTTTTATTGTATTTTCAATCTTTTATAAATGTTAATATTTTTGTTTTTAAAATTGAAGCGCATGTGTGACGCATTTTGTCTCTCTTCCTTTCCGTCGTTATCAGTCTTAATCGACAAGATTTCAATCTTCCGCTAGTCACCGTATCGTCTGCATCGTGTGCCTTCAATTTCCACCATGCCACGTGTAATTTTCGCCGCATTCTTGTATGTACGCTTTTTATTTTATTTACCTTTATTTACATTCTTTCGCATTCTTTATAATTTTCTTTATTAATTGCACGATTTGCATTCATTGCAACCGCTTTCGCATTAAAGCTGTATTGATTTTATTAATAGAATTTAATTATTTTTTTGAATCCTTTTTCTTTTTTTTAACCGGCACCTCGCATTTTAGTTCGACAATTTTCCTTTTTTGTACGAACAATATATTTTTGTTGGTTATTTTTTTTCCCCGCGAAAAGGTGAAAAGGTGTGGCGCAGGGGTGTGACACGACATAGGAATAAATTTATCTAACAAGGGGACCTTGCGGGTTCGTCATCACCGATTTTGTTCATATTTATAGGGATTGAAGATCAGTACTCGGACATCATTTCCTGAAGCAGTTCGATCCCATGCTGGAAAATATCCGAGAAAATCGATTTCAAAATTTTCGAAATATTTCGCAACAATAGAAATGCGGTAAATTGTATCGGCGTTCATAGTGCCGATTAGCCGAGCGACGTGAGCGGGGCTTTAGATGCCAGTTCCACTCGAGCTCTTGTAGCGAGCGGACGTCTCTCCCACTCTTTCGTAAGCGCTCCTCAGTGAAAAGTAATTTTGTGTTCCCGGAATTTAAGGCCATTAGCCAGTTCTGAGTATTAACTAAGTGCCTTCGCTAAGTATTTCTGCGAAACGAACCGAGGTCATCCGGCCGTCAACAAAAGAACGAAACAAAGGCGCCGGCCCGGCTGGGCGCCCAGGTACGAGGGTTTTACCCGACGCTCGAAAAATTGTTGTTTTTACGACAAGTTTCTGATTTTTAAATCAAAAATGACGAAACATAAACAACAACCGCCGACGATCGAGCCTGAGTCAGACGCGGAATCCGCCGCCACCGTGACTTCCGCGCTTACTCGTAAGCTTATGGAAGTCGAAGAACAACTCCAGGCCACCCCCGAGGAAGAGGACCCAACATCAGGCTTTACCAAAGCGAAGAAGAGGAAACGAAAAATGAAGTCCACAGAAGATATCCCCGTCGAACTGAAGAATCGATATGAACTTCTACCAGAAGAAGTCGATTCTATCGCGAAGACACTCCCTGCGGGTAAGAGCGCATCCTTAATTAACAACAAACCCAAAGCCCCTATCAATCAAAAACGCACCAGCCCCCCCATTACCATTCATCTAGGTGGTTTTTGCAACCACCTACGTCTCACTGGCGATCTCACCCAATGGGTGGGAAAAGATAATTACTCTCTAAGATATACGGCCAGCGGTTGCACCGTATATGTCAAAAACCCCGACAACCGATCAAAAATCATCAAACAGCTCAAAAAATCGAGCATCCCTTTCCACACACATACCCCCAAAGAAGAGCGAGAAAAAGCGTTCACCTTAGACGGCCTTCCCCTCCAAATCACCCCGGAGGAAGTCTCAAATGAAATTTTCGATCGGTCGACCATTCAGGCGACCAAATGCTTCCTAATGAAAGGCACCCGTTACCCTCGATTTTTAATAACTTTCTCCGAAATAAAAAACCTCGATACCCTCCAAAAACACATCCCAGCCCTGTTCAACACCCGAGTCCACTGGGGATACGTAAGAAACTCCAAACTCTTAATTCAATGTAAAAACTGCCAAGGTTGGGGTCACGCGACCTCCAACTGTTACGCCCGCCCCAAGTGCGTTAAATGCACAGGCGATCACAAAACCAGTGATTGCCAAATCACCCGCGAAAACGGCCTCCCAATTTCCTGCACCAATTGTAAAGGCAATCACACCGCCAACTCCACCGACTGCCCTCGTTACCACCAGGAAATTGCACGTCGCAATATTAAATGGTCAACCACCCAGCCGACCAAACCCACCACAACACCCCCGCGAGCACAATTCGCTCCAACTTCTTTCCCCCCGATTCGTCCCTTCAATCAACCCTGGAACGCCATCGTGAAAGGGCCCCAACACCAGCAAAACCCCCCAACGGCACCACCCCCTACTCAGCCCCCCATTCAATTCAAAGCTCCCCAAGCGAACTCTCTCCCCAACACCTCCGACTTTAACGAGCTCGGAAGCCTGATGGCCGAGATTAATTCCCTAATTAATCTCCCTAACCTTATTAANCAAATTGTAATCTAAATTTCAAACTTCAAAATTTTATTCCGATATTTTTTCATAACTTTAGCGGGTATGATTGTCATTTATTTATTAAAGAAATGGGCGATGTAGACAAAGATGGGCTTGATGTATTACCTAATAATAAAGAGAGATACATTAGTTTCAGTAAAAGAGTTTTGGTCGATAAGGTAATTAGCGAAGACAAATCTGTTGGAAATGTTTTCTTTAACCTTCCGATAGTCGCGCGCGGACTCTCACTCCGCAGGTAAACATTTTTGCTGTTTACTTCAAAACCTGCCGCAAGAGCGTCTAGCGCCACTAAGTATCTTTCGATCACAGCGTCCTCGATAACTAGTACTCGTCTAACTGTTAAAGTGTGTAGTTGTTGTTGTCATTTTTGCGTACGCGGATTGTGAGTCCGCAAGCGAGCGTTTATGTTATTATATTTTATTACGATATTCCTCATTTCAAAAATAATAAAGGTAAGTTTTAGAGATTATTTTGACTTTTGTGTGTATCTAATTCAGATATTCAACATATTTACAGATGCCTTGTCCCTGGGAACAAGAACAAACACGTTTGAACAAGCTTATGACTGAATGTTTGGAAGAGGAGAAAGAAGAATCGGATGTCGAGTTTGACGACCAAGAAGAATCTGGGGAAGAGGATAACTTAGAAAGACAGGATTTAGATACTGACACAGAACAGGAAATTTCGGATTCAGAAGATGATTTTTCAGAAAGACAACCTACATTTGTTGGCAAAGATAAAGTAACAGTATGGAAGAAGCATGTCCCAAATAAAAGTGTAAAAACAAAGCCAAGTAATATAATTAAACAACTACCAGGTGTAAAGAGAATCGCAAAAGATTTGAAAAGAGAAATTGATATTTGGAAGTATTTTTTTTCAAAGCAAGTTCTAAATTTGATTGTTCATTACACAAATCAGCATATTCAATCATTTAGGGCAAACTACCAGCGAGAAAGGGACGCGAAAGATACCGACCTTATAGAAATTGAAGCACTTTTTGGATTGTTATATTTGGCCGGGGTTCTGAAATCAAATCGTCTAAATATTGACGAATTATGGAGTCAAAATGGTACAGGTGTAGAACTATTTAGGCTGACCATGTCTCAGTGTAGATTTAGATTTCTTTTAGTTCATATACGATTCGATAATTTAACAACTAGAGATGAAAGAAAGCAAACTGACAAACTAGCACCTATCAGAGAAGTGTTTGAGCTTGTTGTCAATAATTTTAAAACAGCCTACACACCATTTCAGTTTGTGACTATTGACGAAAAGTTAGAGGCTTTCCGGGGGCGATGTAATTTTAGACAATACATCCCCAGTAAACCCAATAAGTATGGGATCAAGATATTTGCTATGGCAGATGCAAAGACATTCTACACTTCTAACATGGAGGTATATGTAGGCACACAACCTAGTGGACAATTTGAGGCTAGCAATTCACCAACTGCAGTAGTGCAAAGACTATGTGAACCTATAAAAGGTACCAGTCGTAATGTAACAGTTGACAACTGGTTCACATCCATGAACCTACTTACTTCCCTTGATACAGATTTTAAACTGACTCTATTAGGTACTATCAGAAAAAATAAAAAAGAGTTACCTCTAGAGTTTTCTCGTCCATTGGGTCGCCCAATTTCGTCAAGTATGTTTGCTTTCAGGAAAAATTGTACTTTAGTGTCTTATATACCGAAAAAAAACAAAAATGTGTTGCTTCTGTCGAGCATGCATCATGATGATGAAATAGATAGTGACACAAAGAAACCAGATATGATAATGGACTATAATATGAGTAAAGGTGGTGTCGACTGTGTAGATAAATTATGCGCGGCGTATAATTGTGCGCGTAACACGAAAAGATGGCCCATGGTAATATTTTACTCGTTACTAAACGTAGCTGGTATAAACTCATTCGTGATTTTTTCTATCAATAACTCTTCAAATCAACGAAGAAGAACCTTTTTACGAGCTTTAGCATTTCAGTTAGTGGAAGGCCATAATCGTCGACGAGTGACTCAATCTATTCCTAGGGTTATGCAACAAAGAATCAGACAAATGTTCGGTTTGGAAGCGCCTGTTCCTGAGCCACCGCAGGAAGGTCAGCGGGGAAGATGTTCGTATTGTGATCGAAAAAAAAATAGGCCTACACGTTTTTCTTGCGTAGAGTGTCATAAATATATATGTTTAGAACATTCTCTCATGATATGTCATCCGTGTCATCAAGAATAAGAATTAACGTGGTTCACATTGGTCTAAATTTAACAGAATTGTATTTTCTTTATGGAATGCTCCCATTTTTGCAATATAAAACGAATGTAGTTTATGAATAAATGTTTCTTTTTTCTAATTACTTAGGTTTTTTTATTTATTTTTAGTTGGGCATGTCAAAAAAAAAAGTTATGCTTGCGGACTGAGAGTCCGCGTGCGAGCGTTCCATCTCAATAAAAGGAGCGAGCACCGGAAGGTTAAATTAAGATTTGTTGATTCATTTAGATTTATGTCATCTTCATTAGATTCTTTAGCAGGTAACCTTAATGAGTTTGATTTTATTAGCGTGCGTAAATCTTACCCCCACAATGATCATTTTAAATTGCTGACCAAAAAGGGAATCTTTCCCTACACCTTTATGTCATCATTTGATAGGCTTAATGCCACATCCTTGCCCCCTAAAGAGACGTTTTTTAATAATTTAAATTTAGAGGGAATATCTGATGAGCAATATGTTCATGCCCAAACTGTTTGGAAGAAATTTAATTGTCATACTTTTAAGGATTATTCCGATTTATACTTAAAGACCGATGTTCTTCTATTAGCTGATGTATTTGAGAAATTTAGACGTGTATGTTTCAAAACTTACGGTTTGGATCCCGCTCATTATTATACGGCACCGGGGCTTATCTTGGGATGCTATGCTAAAAGTCACTCAAATTAAATTGGAATTGTTGACGGATATTGATCAAGTTCATTTCATTAAAAAAGGTATCCGTGGGGGCATTTCCCAATGCTCCCTACGTCATGGTAAAGCAAATAATAAATATATGGAAAATTATGATGCTAATGCGCCCTCTAAATTTCTAATGTATTGGGACGCTAACAATTTGTATGGGTGGGCAATGTCTCAATTTATGCCCGTTTCCAACTTTAAATGGTTGACTGAAAACGAAATTCAAAATTTAGATTTTAATAATATACCCGATGATTCCGATTTCGGATATATTTTAGACGTGGATATTGCGTATCCCGAACACTTGCNCGGACGTCGCTGAAAATTTGGTGGTGGCCCATACAGTTCCGGAAGTGTCCACACCCGTCAGCAGACGATATCATGGGGCAGCACGGGCCCCTCTTCGGGAACGTAACCAAGACGGTTTCTATTACAATTTGGCGACCGATGTCGTGAACGGTACTGACTAATCTTATCCGTTAATTATGTTTAATTGAAATTTAAATTTTTAATATATTATTAACTGTAATTTTTTGTGATTTTCTCTTCCTCCTCCTCCTCCTCCTCAATCAATCAACCAATAATAAATAACCTATTTTAAGGTGAGTATTATTTCAATTCAGTCATCGCTCCGCGGGGGATTAACTTCCGCTGATAAGCATACGATCGTTGACGCCGTCTCCCATTGAGCGTTATCTGAAATTTATGTGCGACCTATTGTAGTATAGATGGCGCTTATNGTGGATATTGCGTATCCCGAACACTTGCACAACCTACATAATGATCTACCTTTCTTACCCGAGAATTTAATCCCCCCTAACTGTAAATGCGAGAGCGATGAACGATTAATTCCAAATTTATTTGATAAGACAAATTATGTAATTCATTACAGAAATTTAAAACAAGCCGTTGCACACGGATTAACTATAAGTAAAGTTAATAGAGTTTTATCGTTTAAACAATCCCCTTGGTTAAAGTCATATATAGATAAAAATACAGAGTTACGCCAATCGGCTAAAAATGATTTTGAAAAGGATTTTTTTAAATTAATGAACAACGCAGTTTTCGGTAAAACCATGGAAAATGTTGATAAGCGAGTCGACGTCCGCTTAGTAACCAGTTGGGACGATATCAGGTCTGACGAAACCGCAGGTAGACCTAGACTTGGAGCTCGGAGTTTAATCGCTAAATTAAATTTTAAAAGTGTTAAAGTATTCACAGAAACGTTTTCGGCAATTCAAATGGAGCGTCTTCATATCGTTTACGATAAACCTCTATACGTTGGTTTTACAGTTTTAGAACTCTCAAAATTATTAATGTACGATTTTTATTATGATTTTTTAAAACCTAAATACGGCGAGGACGTTCAGTTGTGTTACATGGATACCGACAGTTTCACCGTACTAATTAAGTCTGACGATGTGTATAACGATGTTAAATTAAATTTAGATAAATTTGATACATCTAACTACAGTCCCGATAATCGGTTTGACATCCCCTTGCAAAATAAAGCGGTTTTAGGTAAGATGAAGGATGAAAATTGCGGAAACGTAATGGTCGAATTTATTGGCTTAAGATCGAAGGTGTACGCAAATCGGGTTGCTGATGGGCGGGTTACTAAAAAATCTAAAGGTATTAGGAAAGCTGTGGTTAAACAAAAGCTTTCATTTCAAAATTATTTCGACTGTTTACATTCAAATTCCATCGTGTCTAGAAAACAGTTATTATTTAGAAGTTTTAACCACACGGTTTTTACCGTTTTACAAAACAAATTGGCCCTTTCCCCACATGATTCCAAGCGATGTATCGATGCCGATGGTATTAAAACATTGGCTTGGGGTCATTTTACAACTATTTCGAATAACGTTTAAATATATTTAAGTAGTTTAAGTAGAAAATAGTATCATTTTTTTGAGTATGTTTAATTTAAATTTTTAATATATGTATAAACGTTATTTTTTTGTGATTTTCTCTTCCTCCTACCCTCAATCAGTAATAAAGAACCTATTTTAAGGTAAGTATTATTATTTCAATTAAGTCATCGCTCCGCGGGGGATTAACTTCCGCTGATAAGCATACGATCGTCGTCGTCGTATTTGTCATCGCTCCACGGGGGATTAACTTCCGCTGATAAACGTATGAGCGTCGTCGTCATCTCTACTTGAACGTTATTTAAACACTTTAATTCATTTCCTTCGGTAGCCTAGCGTGCAAGACGCCCGACTCTCAGCCCAGTTCCACTCGAGCTCTTGCAGCGAGCGGACGTCTCTCCCACTCTTTCGTAAGCGCTCCTCAGTGAAAAGCAATTTTTGTGTTTCCGGGAATTTAAGGCCATTAGCCAGTTCCGAGTAAAAACTAAGTGCCTTCGTTAAGTACTTTCGAGAATCGAACCGAGGTCATCCGGCCGTAGACAAAGCCCAAGAACAAAGGCTCCGGCTCGGCCGGGCGCGCAGGTACGAGGGGTTTTTACCCGTTTACGTAAAATTCGTCGTTTTTACGACGCAGTTTCGTTCATTTTATTTAAAACAAAATGACGAAACACAAACAAAAGCCGCCAACACCACCGGTCGAAATCCAATCTGACGCTGAATCCACCGCCACCACCGCATCAGAGCTTACCCGAAAGCTGATGGAAGTTGAAGAAAAGCTCCAGGCCACCCCCGAGGAAGAAGATCCACCAACCGGTTTCACGAAGGCGAAGAAAAGAAAAAGGAAGATGAAGTCCACAGAAGACATCACCACCGTCGAACTCAAAAACCGCTATGAACTTCTCCCGGAAGAAGTGGATAATATCGCGAAAACCCTCCCTGCGGGTAAGAGCGCTACACTTATAATTAACAAACCCAAACCCCCGATAAACCAAACCCAAAAACGGACCAGCCCCCTATAACTATTCATCTAGATGGTTTCTGTAATCACCTCAGACTTACCGGCGATCTCACCCAATGGGTGGGATAAGATAACTACACCCTTAGGTATACGGCCAGCGGTTGCACCGTATATGTCAAAATTCCCGACAACCGAGCAAAAATTATCAAAGAGCTCAAGAAATCGAGCATACCCTTCCACACCCATACCCCCAGAGAGGATCGCGAGAAAGCGTTCACCCTCGACGGCCTCCCCCTGCAAATAACCCCCGAAGAGGTCACAAACGAGATCTTCGACCTGTCGACAATCCAGGCGACCAAATGCTTCCTAATGAAAGGGACTCGTTATCCCCGTTTTCTAATCACCTTTTCCGACATCAAAAACCTGGATACCCTGCAAAAGCAAATCCCCTTCCTTTTCAACACCCGTGTCTACTGGGGATACGTTAGAAATACCAAACTCCTTATACAGTGTAAGAACTGCCAAGGCTGGGGTCACGCGACCTCAAACTGTTATGCCCGCCCCAAGTGCGTTAAGTGCACCGGTGATCACAAAACCGCTGATTGCCAAATCACCCGCAACAACGGTCTTCCCATTTCCTGTACCAACTGCAAGGGCAACCACACCGCCAACTCCACCGAATGCCCTCGATATCACCAAGAAATTGCGCGTCGCAATATTAAATGGTCAACCACCCAGCCGACCAAGCCCATCACAACACCACCGCGAGCACAAATCGCTCCAACTTCTTTCCCCCCGATCCGTCCCCTCAATCAACCCTGGAACGCCATCGTGAAAGGGCCCCAACACCAGCAAAACCCCCCAACAGCACCACCCCCTACTCAGCCCCCCATTCAATTCAAAGCTCCCCAAGCGAACTCTCTCCCCAACACCTCCGACTTTAACGAGCTCGGAAACCTGATGGCCGAGATTAATTCCCTAATTAATCTCCCAAACCTCATCAACGCCCTAAAACAGTTTAGGGATACCCTCCTTATAGACAAAAGTCCCGCCTCGCTCCTGGACGCTACACAAAAACTCTATTCTAACCTCCTCAATGTCTAGCTTAACTCTAGTCCAGTTCAACGCTAACAGTCTTATCCCCAAAATCCCGGAGATAACCGACTTCCTAAAAAGACTAAATGTCGACGTCCTCCTAATAAACGAAACCAAACTCGTCCCAACCGATTCCGTCTCCTTTCCAGGATACACCATCCTCCGAAAAGACAGGACCCGTCGAGCCGGCGCACTATGGGCAATTTGAGTCGTTGGCTGATCATAAATGGGTTTTTCGAAAGTCGGAATTTATTTCTTTTTTCAATTGAATCCTATAGTAGAAATGTCAGATTTTATTAATTAACATAAGTTTTATTTTTATATGACGTATTTAAGTAAAAAAAAATTATCAAAGTTTATATGTCTCTGATTTCACGTATTTCGGTTATTTTTGTAGTGATTTTTAACGACTGCTAATATAAAGTTTTAGTGTATTAGCAGTTAGCGATGTTTAGCGATGGTCTANCCAAAACAGAAATGCAATACGTAGGCAGTATCAGAGAACCCGCGACCCAATCGCATTGACCGAACTCCGCAAATTAAACAAATCAATCCAGTCAGAACTCAAAAAACACAAGAACGAAACGTGGTCCAAAAAACTCCAATCCCTAAACCCAGATGACAAATCCATCTGGTGCACAATCCGCAAAATCAAAAATCGATTTAAACCGATTCCCGCCCTAAAGGACCAAAACAGCCATATCATCTCAGATAGAGACAAAGCCCTCGCCCTCACAAACTATCTGGCCGCCATTCACACAGCCAAACCTAACACATCGGCCGAACAAAACAATATCTCCCAAAGAGTTCACAATTTCACTCAATCGCATACCACCCCCCCTCCCGGCTGATCTACACCTAATCACCCCGACCACAATTCGTTCAATCATCAAACGCCAAAAACCGTTCAAAGCCCCCGGCCCCGATGGCATACAAAATATCCTCCTACAACACCTTCCTCGCAAAGCCATAGTTCAACTATGCTACATCGCGAGACACGTTCTCAAACTTCAGCATTTCCCCAACTCGTGGAAAACCGCCATTATCATCCCCATTCTGAAACCCAATAAAGACCCCTCTTCACCCTCTAGCTACAGGCCGATATCGCTACTCCCAGCGATATCCAAAATAGTAGAAAGAGTAATCCTAGAGCGTCTAAACGAGCATTCCTTCGTAACAGACGTCATCCCCAACCACCAATTCGGCTTCCGCCCGCAACACTCCACCTCACACCAAGTTGCCCGCATAGTCACCGACACAATAGCGAAAGCTAACGACAGAGCCCATACCGCCCTCGTTTCTCTCGACCTCGAAAAAGCCTTTGATACCGTTTGGTCCGAAGGCCTCATCCACAAATTGATCAGCAACAACTACCCGGACTATCTAACCAAACTCATCCACAGTTATCTCACCAACAGAATGATCCAAACCAAAGTTAATACCACAATCTCCAAACCCAAAAAGATAGACTCCGGGGTCCCCCAAGGCTCAGTGCTCTCCCCCCTTCTATTCAACATATTCACCAGCGATATCCCGCAGATTCCCCAGACAAAAATCGCCACGTACGCTGACGACACAGCCATTTACGCCCATTCCAGTGACCCCAAAATAGCCGTCCTAACAATCCAAACGCATCTCCGCCTGCTTCAAAAGTACTATCAAAGGTGGAAAATTTCCGTTAACCCCAGCAAATCAGAAGCCATTATTTTCACCAAAACCATTCCCCATCTCAAGATTCCCCCCGTGCTCAAAATTTTCAATACCCCAATCCCGATCAAAACCGAGCTAAAATACCTTGGCGTAACGCTCGATAAGAGAATGTCCTTCTCAAAACACATCGCCAAAACAATCCAAAAAACCTCCGCCACTATCAAGAGCATTTACGCCCTAATCTCCAAAAACAGCTCGCTCTCCCCCCAAAACAGGCGACTCATCTATACCTCCATAATCAGGCCCACGATCACATACGCGTCGCCCGTATGGTCAAACGCCGCCCCCACCTCTATCAAAAAGCTCCAAACAGCCCAAAACAAAGCCCTCCGTATCATTACGAACTCCGACAGATACATCAATATCAACAGACTCCACGACAAAGCTAATATAAAACCCCTCCCACTCGAGCTACACAAACACAACACCAACTTCTATAACCACACCAAGCATCACACAAACCCGCTCATTAAAAACATCACCACCCACAACACCATCAACACAAAATACAAATTCCCCTTTGAAAAAACACACCTCAATAAATTCACTTAAAATCACAATCTCACCCCATAGTAACGCTCACACACACACACACACATAAAACCCTAACACACACACACACACACATACATAAAACCCTAACACACACACACACACACCCACACTAATCAACACATCACCAACACAAACAGCCTCGCCGCTGTTATAACACGCTAGGATTTTTTACCCTCCCAAGCGCACTCCCGACACTCGTCCGCCCTCAATTAGGAGATTCAACCGTAACCGATTAATTAACTTCCCCCCCAATCGTCTCAGCTATATTGTCACGCGGCTCCCTTGCAACCCCTTGTTATTTGTACATATATTTATCTCTTGTATATAGATCGTTGCAACACCCGTA